CTCTCTCTCTCTCATGATTCAGCTTCATTCCTGTTCCATAACATCATTGAAGAATTGCCACAGGATTGGCTTCTGGAGAATTACAGAAGCTTGACCATTCTGCTCGCAAGGGTATCTGGATATAATCCAACGTCCATCCTGCCATTCATCCAATGGTGACAGTCATTTCCTTAAAGTTTTCGCATTGTCAGATGCTCCCTGACCTGCATTGTCTTGTCATTGCCAAACTCAATCCAATTGCTCCCACTCCTGCATAAAGCTCCGTGACCCAGCTACCCCTTTTCACGCTCTTCTGCAGCCGCCTCAGCAGGGCCTCATATGCCTGGCTCCACATTTCGCAACAAACAGAAAAGATAATGGAGTAGAGCACGCAAGGCACACGACAAGCAAGTCTTAAAAAACTTGGAACGTTTCAAATCGCAAGTAGGTTAGCTATGCATCATTCTGCACAAGGATGGCCGATGCAGACACAGAAAACCTTGATAAAAGGCAAAGAGAAAGATAGTCATTTCACATTCGCATTTATGAATCATACTGTAGCTAGAGCCCACACATACATTTCACTGTGGTTAAATCATCAAGTTACTATAGCTAACCAACATAAATAACCAAGTCCATCCTGTCAGGAAGGGATTTCTGCCAAATTCATTTCTTTAATGTTTAAAGGCCACTGTTATATAGAGGGTCAACGATAGAGAGGGCAACCGCCGCCGCAGGTTGTGGACACTCAATTTATCATGACAAATATATATTCCTTAATTACTTAGTCTATACTCATATTCGTTGCATTCTATTCCTATTATTCTTATTTCATTATTCTTTTATATATAATGTAATAAATAAAATCTATAGATGATATTAGGAATCATATGTATATTAATTACTTTATAAGTTTATATTACATATTTAGCTTTAGATATTTAACTTTATTGATATGAGATAAAATCGATTGATAATATATCATCTATAGATAAAAATCTATTAAATTTCATTATTCTATGTAAAAATGAAGATCCGGCGGCGATCGGAAAGCAGCCTTCAAGACACACCTTCAGCCCTCACGTTTGTTGGCTCGCCATCTACAAAACTGATTTGATCTCTGTGTCTTCCTCCCCGTCTCCATGTCACAACTCGCCCACGCTTTGCTATCGTCCTGTTTAACTCCTGGTAGGCTGGTCCCTTAAACCACCAGTACTTCCTAAAGTTGTGCCCGTTCACAAGCCACAAGTTTAGGAAACGTAGCGGCCACTACCGGAGCGTCCAAATTCATCCGACTAGAAATGTTTCTACTCTATTTTTTTCGGCGGACAATAGCTGGGCCAAGTACTGGTGGTTTAACACGCTACCTCTGAGTACTCTTCCTCTGACTTGGAGTATACACCAAGTCCACCTTGACTGCTCTCCCACGCTTCGCTATTTTTTTCCTTCACTTGGCCTGCATATTATCTATGTAGTATTTTAATTTTTAATTTTAAAATTATTTTGGTATTTTACTATTTTTTCTATTTTCTTGTCTTGTCCTGCGGGAAGTGCAGAGCTCAGGTCGAAGGCCGCTGCAAAATATTGTTTTTTGGAAAACTCCTGATGGAGTTTCGTTCTCCAAACTCGTAACTACTGTCTTCCCCCGAATGCAATGAATGTACAGTCATTATGACTGTATCTAGACTGAAGTTGGCCCAAATGCAGCTGTAATGACCGTAGGTTCTATTCAGGGGCAGACGACAGAAAGCATGGTGGAATGCACACCAATCAGTTCCTTTGGAAAAAACAAATGAGAAGAAAACGATGTCGATGCTCACAATACTCATGCGGTGCACCTCTCAGGCTCTCACCATCGGATCAGTGCAAAGCTAAGACAAGAAGACCAAAAAGATGAATGGCGAGGACCTGTCTGGTGATTGTAGGCGCTAACTTCAACAACACCACAAGCATCACCAGAAGAAGAACAAGCCCTAAACTTCTCTTGCTTTCCCACCCTCACCCTCTGGCCTCTCCCTC